CCGCCTAGGAGCTCCCTTCCCCAGTGTCTGGGAAGAGGGGGGGGGTCTCCCCTGTCCTCCGCAGCACCGTGCCCTCTCCCCCAGCCCCCCGTGCTCTTGCCCCCTCCGCACACCTCAACCCCACTACCACCCCTCCTGCTCCAGCTGGGCCGCCCTCTTCCCAGCCCATTCTCCTCTCCAGCCCAGCACTTTTCACATCATCCCCTGGCAGAAGGAATGTCTTCCCCCACCCCATCCCAAGCCACCCGGGAGCAGAGCTCGCCTTCTCCGGGCTGCCTCTTCCCTCTCCTCCCCCTCCGGCACCCCGAGCTCCCCTGCCCTCTCCGCCGTCCCGGGAACCCCATCGCCGCCCGGGATGCCCTTCCCCAGCGCCGGGAGAAGTAGGACTTTGTACTCACCCCCTGCCTGCTGCGGTAGCTCTGAGTCTGGAGACCGGCTCTGATTCCGGCTCCATCACGTTTAGTGCATTGTCTCTTTCGGGCAATTTTTGCAGCAATCCATCAGAAAAAGGGGGACAGGCCGGTTTGTGGGTACATCCTTCCCAGGAGCTCAGCTCTCTGCCTCTCTAAGGGGCTCAGCTGTGTCAAAGACACCCCCTGGCCCGGACGGCTCACTCCTTCCTCCTTCTCTTCTGGGTCCTTTTGCTTACACAGATCTTTTAATCCCATTTAACTCCCTCTCGGCAGACTGCAATTACCTTGGGAAAAAGGAGAGAGAACAGAAAGTACACGCTAGGAAGCCAGGCTGGCCCATGGTCGCTGGATTTCTTGCCTCTCTTTTTTTCCTCCTTATTATCAGTACAATTTCTGTGATCTCTGGTTTCCAAAGTCCTTGATTGAAAGTGTTTTTTTCTTAGCTGTTACTTTTTTTTTTTTTGATTTGGTTGGTGGTGGTAATTATTATTTTTATTTGCAGTGCAGATGTGCCTCCCACCCCCCCAAGGATCTCTCCTCTGGACTTAGAGAGAAGAGGAAAAGGCAGATTTTGAGAAATGAAAATTATTTAAGGATGTCCCTGCTGCCTCTCTCTGCTGCCCTCCTCTGTAATATCGAGGCACTTACAAAAAATAATACAAAGTAAATAAATAAAAAAAAGAAAGTCTTCAGCCAGAAGAACAGCAGAGAAATAATCGAGGACCCCTTCCAGTCCGCACAGGGAGCGAGAGAGAGAAGAAAGTGGCATAGGCCAAGCGCTCCCGGGCTGGAGAGGCCACCGAGGACCATCGCCGGCCAGCCCTGCAACGCTCACCTGCCGGGGCAAGCCTGGAGGGAAACACCAGCCTAGACCCTGCCCAAAGTTGCTTCAACCCTCCTCATCGCGGGATGGCAAAGGACCCGTGTTAAAAGGTACCTGACGTGGCTTTTCCCCTTTCGCTCAGAGCTTGGAGGAGGCAGTTCAGATCGTGGAGGTGGCCGAGACCCGCAGGAGACCCCCTCTGCCCCCTGGTGCCTCTCCATCCTGCCCCACTTTGCCAGGGGGGTGGGAAGGCACAGGTGATTTGGGTGTGGGGCACCCCTGGACCCTTTCTCCTCCCACCAGCAAGGGATGGGAGCTGGAGCCCAAAAGGCAGGGAGGAGGAAATGAATTTTTCATGCAAAGTCATAATAATAAATCACATCCCAAGCCCCCTTAGGCAGCCCTGTCAGGAGAAGAGACTTTGCGTTGGCCAGTGGCGAATAAAACCGTCCCTTAGCCTCCTCCTCTTCTAGCTATGCAAGGTCCCACTAAGTTCTTACCACCTTAAACACCTCAGGGTTATAGGCAGGTCCCTTTTGTCCACACGTGTCCCAGGACAAAGCAAACCCATCAGCTTAGCTCCAAAACTGCACGGGCAGAAAAGCGCAGGCTTGGCGAGCCCGGATGGGACGAGGTGAGGGGGAGCCAAGGGCTTTCCTCATGCAGGTGTTGGGCCCAGAGGGCACAAGCCCTCCTGCCCCAGGCAGCTGGCCCCACTGGGCACTCCTGCCACCTCTTCTCTCTGCGCCCCGGTCGCCCCCCTCGCCCCTGCTCCCTTCCCCCTTGCACTGCTTCTGTGCCTCGGACACTTACTTTGCAGCAAGGTGAGAGGCTGTGCAACGGCTCCTTGCAGCCCCACGTTCATTGGCATTCACTTGTCCCAGCAGCTTACAACAACTTCTACTTCTTAAAAAACAGTAATAGTAAAAAAGAAAAACAAAGCAAGCAAAAAATTCAAGCCCCTTCCTCTCTCTTTCCCCCTCAATGACAAGGTGTCTCCTGCGCTGGGAGCCAGCGAGTGCCTCCCAAGCTCATGGGCCCTGACCGAGCCAAGGCTTCCTGGCAAGTCTGAGGTTCCCCCAGGTTCAATAGATAATCCTTCCCCAGGACTCGTGCAGGCAGGTCCCCCTCAGGCTGTGCCTCCGTGCGTGGGTCATTGATGCTGCAGGGATCCAGGAGAGAAGATGGGTTGGGACCGGGCGCTGGGAGGGACATGGATGTGAAAGAGGTGGAAATTATAAGGCTGCCCTTGTCCTTTTAAATAGCTGCAGCCAGGGGACTCCGCTTGCTGGCTGGGGTGCCCCAGGTGTCCGGTTTCAGCAAACATCAGCTAATGAGCAGAGATCCAGCCTCCAAGGGGCAGGGTCAGCAGTGCTGTGTGGGATGAGGAGGCAGGACACAGAGGGGGACACAGGACACCCTGACAGGAAGGGATGGAGCAGAGACTGGTCTGGAGGAGGGAGGCAAGTGCTAGGGCAGAGGTGCAAGCAGAGGCAAAGAGCTGTGTTTCTACCACCGCTTGAGGATGGAGGGCTGGCTGCAGGGTACCTTGTGCTGGAAGGTTCATGGCACAAAGGACAGGTCCTGCAAGGTGCTGAGCACCTAGTGCCAGTCGGAGGCACCAGTGTGAGTTTGGGCATCAGACTTGAGATGCCTGGAGTCTCTAAAGGGGCCGTATCTCCCCAGAGACAGGGGAAGAACCAGAGAGACCAAAAGCATCTAAAATCTGGATATGGGCACTAAACTTAGAGGCCTCCCCTTGAAAAAATACGGCCATAAATGGGATCAGCATTGACCCACCAAGTACCTGGACGTGAAGCCAGGGAAATGATGTTACACTCACACAGGGCAGAAAATTTAAGGACCCACTGGCCTGACTCAGCAATGCATGTTTTACTCAAAAGATGACCTCAGAATGCGGCCAAAAATTAAGGTTTCCGCCATAAATCAGACCTCCTGTATACATGACATCTCCTGTTACCAGGCATTCTGAGGACTTTTCTTCTTTAATATATATATTTGTCTGAGTTGTGGTTACTCGCAGGGACTGTGGCTTTGCATCTCCCAGTTTCTATAGGCATAAAATTTTATTCATACCTTTGCTCTGAAGCATCTGCATTTTACTCTCTTGCTTGCTTTAAAAGATGAAGCTCTAAGTGGTATTAATAGAGCGCTAGAAGATTTGAATAAGCAGGGTAAGTAAGTCCAACAGCCTCAATGTCTGCTGTCCTCCTGGAAACCTTTGAGGAGAGTGCAGCTAAGTGACACACACCCAGATACCCGTAAGAAGCTCCTATGCACAAACCCATATCAACCCTCTGACGTGCCAGGAGCTCAGACTACCCATCCAGGACAGCTTTGAGGATCGGGGCTTTAGGGACAAAAGGCAGTCACACAGCTTGTCAGAGATCACATAAGATCTCTGTCTTCTCTGCTTTCCCCCCCCACCCCCCAGCTGTTTTTCCCATGTTTCCCAGTCATGCATTCCTCACAGAGGAGTCCCATGCTCTTGAATGCACCTTGCATCCTCCTGCTCTCTTCTACTTTCTATCTCTTCCAAAACCAGCAAGTATTCAGTGACCTTCCTCCCCCTTGAAAAGCACAGGGGCTAGAAAAGAACAAGGCACTGGCTTTCCAGACCAAAGGACAAGAAAGGAAGGAAAACGATGCGTCACAAAAATGGTTTGCTGAAGCATGCACAGGTAGCCAGTAAGCACTAGGACTGGCAACGCTTCAGATTCACAGCGTTGTACCCAGGACCAACAATAAAGCGGCCTTGTAGCCCCATTCTGCAAATAGTTATGCATGTACTTCGCTTTACGCAGATGAGCGGTTTCAAACCAAACATATGCATAAAAGCTTTTGTAGCGTGGAGACACGAATGTAGCCCAGCAGTAGGAAAAAGAGAATTAGTTTAAAACAAAAGGAAACCCAACATTGTTGAAGCCAAAACTAGTGCCAAATGAATTCAGGTTCAAAAATTAGACCTCATTCTTCAAAAAGAGAAAAGCCACAACATATGATCTGAATAAAAATATATTTAGCAGATTTATTTTTCTTCCCTTCCAAATTTAAATAGAAGCCATTTTAAAATGCTAAATAAATTGAAGTAAATCGGCATAGCAACGGGACACAAAAAACCGGCATTGACCATTCTAGTTTAATTAGCCAAAATAAGAAAAGTACAGGGGCGGAGGGAATACCACTATACCCCAAACAACTTTGGGAACAGGGAAGAGAACACTTGCTTTTGACAAAATGAACCTCTTAAAAAAAGCAGCATGTCATTACTGGTTGAATAAATACAGTATTTAAAATACTCATCTATATTTAGCTAGCTTCCAAAAGACTCAGTACCTACCTCTCCTCCTGATCCGTAGCTTGGTTAAACATCAAGGCTCTTTATTAATACCATTTCATACCTTTGCTCCTCTTGGACGACCAAGTGAGAAGGCGCCTAGGAGCCATGGCAAGCACGCATTACAGCTGTGCTACACAACCGACAGCGCCCAACTTCAAGGACCAGAGGAATGCCAGACGCTAACCCGGGCTTGCCCTCCCCGTTTGGCTTGGCCTGAAAGGCTGCAACACTAAATTATTGTACAATCATTTTTACGTGAGCCAATTACCCCTGCACAAGTCGGAAAAGTGTCCTGAATCACTCACTGCCCCCAGAACTCACAAGGTATTACAGGGATATGTTTGGATATATTTAGATAAATACCTTATTCAGGTTTAAAACTGTGGCAAGGCTAGGCAGAAGGCACAGGCAGTGTGAAACCTAAAGCACAGGAAAAGCCTGTGGGAGGGATCAAACAAACACGACAAGGCAAGACAGGATAAAGAGCCTTTCACTCCCCTCTGGGCTGAGGGATGAATCCAGCCCAGACCGAGAGGCATCTAAACTTGGTACCAGGTTCACAGGTCCGGGGAGCCATAGGGAAAAAAGGACTCGCCCTGCCGCGAGTGCCGCTGCCACGACAGCTGGGGGGCGGGGGTCCTCCCGGCAAGCATGGGACCCCCGCGGATGGCTGCGCTTCGGGGCACGGGAGCGTTTGTCACGAGGAGCAGAGCTAGCGAGGAAGACGGATCCATTCCTGTAAATCCGGTGGCAATGAAAGACTGAGCAAGCCACAGAAAAGGGTCTAGCCTCGCTGGCCCACACACAGCCATTGCAATTCAGGTAGTTGCACGGCGTAAAAGCGGCTGCGCCGGTCCCCAGCCCCTGGAAACGTCTAGCTGAGGGCTGGCCTAGCACATCCACTGTTGGCCGCTAGGAGCCTTGACACCAAGACGCCCCTGAAGAGCTGCAGATAGAGGGGCTGCTTCTGATCCCTGGTGGCTGGGGGGCATTGAAACGTTTGCACTCAAGTGAAGGTTTCTGTCCCCTCTTGCTGCCCTTGAGACCAGGCCACCTCCCTCTGCCATTACGTGCTAGGGGACTTCCTGAACAGCCCACAGCAGGGACAGCCCTCTTGCTCCCTCGCTCTCTGAAGCCTTGTGGACACTAGCGTCAGCCCCAAGTTCAGCATAAGAGAAACCAGCACCCCACAACCCCACTGGGGCAGATACAGTCACTAATGCCCAGGGTGGGTCTGACCTGTGGTTCCACACATTCCTCTGACGCTCTCTTCCAGGTATGTAACTCCCCCCCACGGGATCTCCTAATCCCTACATGGCTTTTCCGTCCAGACCCTGTATTTAACATGATCATATTGACACATCTCACAGTTTGGATGACCGTGCTAGTCAAGCCCTGGACTAAAGTTCTCCTTAACTCATGCTGCCTAGGTCCCTTACATTGTAGGGACTGGACATGAGCAGAAACCTGCTAATGAAATTAACTGGCTGCTGAGAAGTCTCTCCACCCCTGGTAGAGTCAAAGACTCAGCAAAGGCAGAAACTGGGCCTACTGGGATCCAGTTTTAGTGGATTCTCCTGTTCATTTTTCCTTTCTGGTTTCAGCCACATGCTGCAAGAATAAGAGGTTTCAGCCAAGGAGCAGAACAAGCAGCAGCTCTGTTCTCATTCTAGGGATTGCCATTTGACATCTATTTTGTCATACAAAACCAGCTGTGCATTGTGTTTCTTTTTCCCAGTCCACTATGGAGCGTATTCATTACACATGAGCTGTACAGAAAGCTAGAAAACCATATATGGATCCAGGTTACTGCCTAATACTATTTTCCCCTTCTCAGAAGCCTTTTTGACAAACCTTATCCCATTCTGTGCCACAGGCTAGCGGTGACATGTTTGAACTTCTGCAACCGTTTGATGTAAAATGTTTTAAATTCTTTTCTGGAACACTAAAGGCTTTTGTCTCTTGACCAGTGCTGTGGGGATGCTATGTCTGGCAAAGACAGATTTTTCTGTGCTTTCCTGTGGTACCATATCAGATTGGGCTGCCCGGGCTGCTAAGAGGTGGGAAGAGTTGTTAATCATTAAACAGAGCCTTTTTCCACCGGAATGAAATGAAACACAATGCAGTGATACAAGTCCAAGCCCACCCTTCCTAAGGAAATGCTAAGCTGCTGATCACAACTCTGTCCTACACACCTATTTAGATATTTAGAGAACGGCAGTTTTACAGGATGGTTGTAAAGCAGATCGTTCAGTTGATATTACAAGCAGGTAGTGTCAAACCGCCACGTAAGCCGTGACAGGGAGCAGTACATTGGTATACTTTGACAGGAACATATTACAGTTCCTATAGCTATCCTAACTATCTTTAAGGTATTAGGCAGAGCCTGCCCGATTGTGGGATCGTCCCTTTCTACCTCCCTTGTTTGCCCATCTGTTCCTAATCTGGATTCAAGCTGTCTCCCAGTTTGGGAGCTGTTCAGTCACTGAATCACAGAATGGTTGAGGTTGGAAGGGACCTCTGGAGATCATCTAGTCCAACCCTCCTGCTCAAGCAGGGTCGCCTAGAGCACATTGCCCAAGATTGCGTCCAGACAGCTTTTGAATATCTCCAAGGAAGGAAACTCTGGGGCTACCAGAAAATACAAAAGAGTCAGCGACACTCAGCACCTTGAAGCACTGTCCTCTAAACGAAACGCAGGACCAGGCTGTTCCGCAATCTTTGGCGCAATGTGGTGCTCCTATGCAACATTTCGAACCGCACAGTGGATAACCAAATCCAGTTCCCTTCTTTCACCATAAAAATCAATACCATAACACCAGGTGCTGCACATGCAGCAGTAATTCTTCCACAGTCTGGAGGTTCGCTAGTTAAATGCAGTAATGCATCAGCAAGCACAAACGCTTTTCCCACTGGCGTGCCAAATGACCCTGTTTGGTTGGTGTAGATGCAACGTGCTATCCTGGGTAAGTTCAAGTAACACGATCTTTCTCTAAAGAAACAGAACATCTTTTCTTCATGAAACAGAACCACCCTGAGAGTACCTTCACCCGTGGCAAAGATGGACATTATGCTGGTACTTAAATACATCTGGTGAGCTAAATGATTTCTGATGTATTAAGGACAACTACTATAGCGCATTACTATGCTAGAAAGCATAAACCAGTGTTTTAAAACTTAAGCCAAACTTCTGCAAGTCTGACATGTATACTGCATAGGAATTTTAGGCAGCACTGCCTACTTCTAGTGCGATCTGTCAGCTTTCTGGATATCTCGGTGGCATTGACAGCAGGTGTGGCTCAGTGCTTGTGTTACATTCCCTGCAGATGCAATACAGAATTGATTTAGGTATGAGCGGTAAGGCTGACTTGCTCTGAACGCATTGGACAAGGGCTAGGTAACTGGTGGGCAGCAAACTTTGGAAGTTATGAACTACTGAGTTGAGCTGTGTCCGTTCAGAGAGGAGTTGCTGTTTGCTCGAAGCAAGCAGGTGGCTAAACGTGAAAACATGGTATGTACACCAGCCACAGACTGTTTGCACACCCAGCAAGCCTTCACACTGAATTCCAAGGGCAGGCCCACCACCACAGAAATCAGTGCAAGATCTCAGCCTCCAAAAGACTGCAAAATACCATGCACATGCACGATACAAAGTTTTTGTGTGGGACAGACAGGCTGAAACTAAGCCTCCATCAGATCTGGAGTAGTGTCGGTGGGGAGGGGCAAGGAAGAAGGATTTAGAAAAAGCCAGAACAACTTTTTGTTATGATGTACTGT